TGCAGGTATACATACACACTGCAGGTATACACACATACACACACACTGCAGGTATACACACACACACACACTGCAGGTATACACACACACTGCAGGTATACACACACACTGCAGGTATACATACACACTGCAGGTATACACACATACACACACACTGCAGGTATACACACACACTGCAGGTATACACACTGCAGGTATACACACACACTGCAGGTATACACACACACTGCAGGTATACACACACACTGCAGGTATACACACATACACACACTGCAGGTATACACACACACACTGCAGGTATACACACATACACACACACACACACACACTGCAGGTATACATACACACTGCAGGTATACACACACACACTGCAGGTATACACACATACACACACACACACACACTGCAGGTATATACACACTGCAGGTATACACACATACACACTGCATGTGTACACACATACACACACACACTGCATGTGTACACACACACTGCAGGTACACACACACTGCAGGTATATACCAATATGAAATACAGCAGTATGTAACATCACAGTGTGTGTGTGTGTGTGTGTGTGTGTGTGTGTGTGTGTGTGTGTGTGTGTGTGTGTGTGTGTGTGTGTGTGTGTGTGTGTGTGTGTGTGTGTGTGTGTGTGTGTGTGCAGAGACATTACCACCCGGTGGTACGTCGCTTTGCAGCTCACCTGTGTCAGGGAGCGCCCAGCGAGGGATCAGCAGCGCTCAGTGCCGATCTGAGCCGCAGGTACGATTCAGTCAGCTGTGCTCACCTTCAGATGATGACCTCACTGTTAATGAACGCCCTGACATGATGTCACTTCCTGTCCAGGTCTCCGGTGGAGCTATTTAACATTTTCAGTGTCAAAGACATGACCTTTAACCCCCCTGTGGCCCCGCCTGGCTCCAAGAAGAAGGTACGACAAATCAAACACTCGGTCGGATTTTTTTAAACGTTCAAAGTATTTTTTCTGTATCGTTCAGAGAATATAAACCTGTGGCGTCTTTCTTTACTGATGAACTTCATGTTTCGTGTCAGGATCGCTTCGTGGTCGGAGCGGCGCTGCTGGACGCCGGGCTGCAGAGACTAGTCCAGAGCGTCCTGAACGCCACCGAGGAGACAGAGCTGGACTTTAACACAACAAACACACACAGCGAACACTGACACACACACACACACACACACAGATAGAAAATAAAAGTATTTTTTACCATTAAGGATTGAATCTCTGTGTTGGGATGTCTGGAGGATCTCAGCTTTAATGATCACAAAGTGTTTTTCTGTTTTTCATTTTTCAGCAGTGTCAGGAGGTAAAAATCCTCGCTTTGGTTTTATTTCTGGATTTATTATTTTTTAATGTATTTGTTTCTTTTGCATGCACACATGACTGTACATATTGCAAAGAAAACAACAATAAAAAAAACTAAACGGGAAAAGTGTTGATATGTGCAGGAGAGGAAAGAAAAAGATCAGATTAAAAAGAGTATTTCTTTCAAAGAGGAAATACCCCCCCACACACACACGGCCGTTTTGGACGCCCCTCAGTTTGTCAGATATGAGAGCAGTTATCAGGTCAACAGGTGTTGCAGCGATGGAAGCGGTCAAGAGAAGTGGTTCAGATAGAAGTGATTGTACCCGACCTAAAAAGCCTCTGCATGTTTCTAATAAGCTCCACGAGCAGAAACGTGCTCAAACTAGGATCAATATTGGAGATGCTTTTGAAAAATGGAGAGAAGCTAGAAATACTTTATTATTCCCCGGGGGGAAAGACGTTCATTGGCGTTGCTCTTACACACAACATAGAAGCAGAACTATAGAATATATGACCCCCTGCAGGACTAACGATCAGTGCTGTGGGGGCAGGGCCTTCTCCATTGCCGCTCCCATCCTCTGGACCTCACTCCCAAAAACTATCTGAGACCCCCCCCCCCACTCTCCAACTTTAAGAAATCCCTAAAAACTCACCTTCAACATCGCCTGCAACCACAAACTCAACTCTCATCCGTCTTTTACGTCATTTCTTTGTTGTGATGTTTTCGCTGTTTTTGTCATTCTTAGTTAATCGTCTTTGAGTATTTAGAAAAGGGCTTTAAAACTCTGATTTATTATTATTATTATTAAAAAGACAAAAATGACACAAAACCAGAAACATGAGGTCTATGGTGTAAATCCTGAAAAACTCAGCAGGGGGCAGCACTCGACCACAGAAGAAGTAGAGGAGTGTGAATCTGCTCAATCCAGGAAAACAGCTCCAGTGCTTCTGTTTTCCTGACTATTTTGACAGCACTCTAACGCATCTTTTAAGAAATATAAACAAAATGAGCTCCAACAGTTGAATCTGAGTTAATACTTGAATGCACGTGCAACAATAATCTGATTCAACAGATATCAGATCATTGACGTGCAGAAACAAAACCGTTTTTATTTTCCAGCTTCCCCTGCCGAGCCTTACTGCCTGCAGGAGTTTCCATTTGGATGTGGGCAGGGCCAGGCAGCAGTCGGGTGTGTGGGTTGGAATGAAAAACCAGCGGTGATGAAACTCTTACCTCACAACTCTCTCTCTCTCTGAGCTGATGAGGACAGTTTATGAATGGAAATATGTTTCTGCAGCCGCTGTGGACCTTCCTCCTCCATCATTCCCCCCTCCTCACCTCTCCCCTCTTCCCCGTCATCTTCTCGCTCTCGGTGTACCTGTCCTTCTGCCTGCCCTTCCTGCTGCTCGACCTGCTCTCCCTCAGGTGGGCCCCGCTGCGCAGGTACAAGCTGCAGCCTCAGAGCTCCGTCAGCTGGGCCTCGGTGCGGAGCTGCCTGGCTCTGACTCTCTACAACCACGCGGTGTTCATCTTCCCGCTGACGCTGCTGCGCTGGTACACGATGCCCGTCAACCTGCCCGCTGCGGCGCCCTCCCTGCCCCGCCTGCTGGCTCAGGTGTTTGTCTGCCTGCTGCTCTTTGACTTCCAGAGCTTCACCTGGCACCTGCTGCACCACAGGGTGCCCTGGCTCTACAGGAACTTCCACAAGGTGAGGACATGGAGACAGATTTTAAACTGAATATGATCATAAAAATATTGATGCATGATAATGTTTACAGTTTTTTCCAATTGCTAAAACACAATTTTGCAAACTAGGCTGGTTTTATCAAAATACTTAACACAATTCACAAAACCACAAACTGCAACATACCTCACATATCCTGCAAAATGAAGCACTGCAACCAAAACTACATACAGCATTATCAAAATCAAACTTTTGCACCAAATGGCCCACACTTCATTTATATTACCAGATTTTTGTCTAACCAACTACACACTGTTGGGCATAATGAAAAGCACTCTCATCTTTAGTATGCTTTGTCATAATACTAAAATAGTTCGAAGTGTAGAAAATTCTTCAGATCGTTCACATGCACAGAAATATTTGCAGATACACACACATGCTGTTGAAACATTTATTTTTTTCACCAAACAAGTCAGTGCTACATATACCAGGACAGTAAAACAGCTCAAGTTGGGCTGCACCCTCCATCCAGCCTCTCACATTGTCAGCCCATGATGACATGATCAACTAAAGTTGCTCTGAGTTCATTTGAAAGTTGTTTTCTTCTTTGGCCATGAACTCCTCTATCAGCTCGAACCCTACCTCTCACTCTTCCTCCCCCTCTCATTCTCACCCTCCCTCTTCCTCTCTCTGCAACATCTTCCCTTGTTGTAAAAATAAGGTGCTCACTTGTGGTCTTTTCATAGTGCTTACTTCCTGATTGAAGTGATAACAATTAACCATTGAGGTGTTTGGCCAATTAGCTCATGAAGTGTCATTTTGAATGGCAGTGTTCTGAAATTGCAAACATGTGACTTTATGTCAGATTGTTGTGTCTTATGCAGAGAACCGTGTTCAGTGCATTTAAAAAGTGCCATTTTGAATTGCAAAATGTGTGTAAAGCAGAAAATGAGTTTCGACTTTTGGAGACTTGAGAAGAGGTTTTTCTCTCTGTGTGTCAGTTTAAATAATTGTGCTATGCATTTCATTGAGTGTGTTAGCAATTGGAAAAAAAACTGTAAAGAGTTTATTGTTCCTCTGCCTCACGTCTCTCCTCCTCCTCCTCCTCCAGGTGCACCACACCTACACCTCCACCTCGGCCCTCACCACAGAGCACGCCGGGGCCTGGGAGACCCTCAGCCTGGGCTTCTTCGCCGCCTCCACCTCGCTCCTGCTGGGCGTTCACCCGCTCACCGAGCTCGCCTTCTTCCTCCTCAACATCTACCTGTCGGTGGAGGACCACTGTGGCTACGACCTGCCGTGGGCCACGCACCGCCTGGTTCCCTTCGGCCTGTACGGAGGGGCCCGTCACCACGACCTGCACCACCTCAAGTCCAAGTACAACTACGCCCCCTACTTCACCCACTGGGACCGACTGTTTGGGACGCTCTACACCGAGGAGGACTGAACAGACAGAAAAGTTTGAAAAGTGATGTGGAAGTTTGAAAAGTGATGGAGAAGTTTGAAAAGTGATGTGGAAGTCTGAAAAGTGATGTGGAAGTTTAAAGACTGATGGAGAAAGTTGGAGCCTGAGACATTCATGAACTGAGAGAGAAATGAACTTTCTGACGAGACAGAAGAAGAACCAGAACCAGGACTAACTGCTGTTTGGATGAAACTTTGAAGCACTTTCTGAAACATCAGAGAGTCCCTGACCCTAAAGGAGTCCTAAACTAATGTACAGATTTTGGTGTCTGAACTGACGAGTTGTAAACTTTTCAGAGAGGATCAAATCGAACATTCGAGCTCTTGAAAAGTGTCTTAAAAGTGACCTTGAAGTTTCTGGACTGAACGAAAGCTTAGAGAGTTTTGTAGGAAGTCTTCGGCCGCTCGTCTTTTGTATAAAAAAAACTAAAGTTTTCAGTATTAGAAATATGATTTAAAAATCTTTATTTATAACTTCTGTTATTATTTGTGTTTATTTATTAACCTGATCTCACTGAACGAGT